GTGATATGCTGACTCTGTAAACCACTTAGAGAGGGCTGAAAGCCCTATGAAGCAGTATATAAGTCTACTGCTATTGCTATTCTAAGAGGGGAGGCATCATTTTACATGCAATGGAGCACTTTTTTCCTGCAACAGGATGATTTGGAAATATTATATTATTCAACCACAAGGAGGAGAGGAGAGAAGAAGATGAAAGGGAAGGGAAGAGGAGAGGAGAAGGAAGAGGGGAAGGGAGGAGACAGGAGGGAAGGGGAGAGGAGAGGAGGAGAAGATGAAAGGGAAGGGAAGAGGAGAGGAGAAGGAAGAGGGGAAGGGAGGAGACAGGAGGGAAGGAAAGAGGAGAGGAGGAGAAGATGAAAGGGAAGGGAAGAGGAGAGGAGAAGGAAGAGGGAAAGGGAGGAGACAGGAGGGAAGGAAAGAGGAGAGGAGAGGAGAAGATGAAAGGGAAGGGAAGAGAAGCCAAAGAGAAGGGAAGGGAAAAGAAAAGAGAAACCTGCACAATGGCCACCGCCAGCCACACAGAAGCAGAAATCCCAAAACGAAGAATTGGGCTCCAGGGAGCTTGGTAGGTATTTGGCTCAGGCTGCAGACTGACATTCAGGTCTCTTGATGCGAGGTTTTTGAGTCCCACCACCTGTGGATGAAAAGAAGCCAACATTCACCCCACGTGGAGACACCACCTCTCCATCTATGGGCCTTATGGCTCACTGGCTGACTCTGGGTAAGTATTCTCATTCGTAACTGTAACGTAGTCCCACAGCTATACAATTTGGGCTGAAAACGTTAGGCTAGGAAAGGAAATCGGGATTTTAGGTAGGTCCCCAAGGGGATTGGACAAGGGCGCGGAGGAGAAATAGACTGATGGTTTGGTCCACCCAGGGTTTCCATGACAGGATGCAGAAGAAGGACCACCAGAACAGAGAAGTGGGAACAGGAGCTTCTGCCATCAAGATGAGACCCCAAGTTTCTCTCCCTGAGCTAACTCTCCAGACCAGGAGAGGTTTCTCAGGGCCGCGGGTAGAAATCGGCAGAGCTTCAAGGCACAGTTGGCCCTCCTGTGTTTTGCACTGACCTCCAAAAGCAGCAAGACAGCAAAGAGCTGAAGCGAAGGATGCACCTTCCGCTGGGTCTGGATTTCATTCCACTCATTAGCGATCAGGAAAGTCCTCCAGGCGGTCACTGAGGAGGCGGGACCTTCTGGAACGGGGTGGGGCGGAGGAGGAGGAGGGCACAGGCAAGCAAAGAGACACAACGAGCTTCATTGGAGGACTCCGCCCACACCTCTCAGGTCCTTTCGACCAATTGCAGAGCTTGGCGCTCTGGAGACCCCCCTGGAGCTTCTGTTCTACACTCATCTGCCTCTCCAACAGCAAATAATTCAGGGCAGCTTGGTTGGCTTCCAAAAAANGAGATCCGGACCCTTACTACCCTTCCGGCCTTCCGCAAAGCGATCAAGACCTGGCTGTTCCGGCAGGCCTGGGGCTGTTGATTTTATCCAGCCCCACTCTAAGCTGTATGCACGTTGTGTAATTTTAATAATTGTTTCCTATTTTAATTTTTCATATATGTCCCCTGTTTTATCTGTGAGCTGCCCAGAGTCTCTAGGGAGTGGGCGGCATACAAATGCTAATAAACCTTAAACCTTAAACCTTGGCTTGGAACATCTTCTAAAAACCTGCCTAGAAAGCAATCGATTTTTTTTTTTTACATTGCTCAGAGCAAAGCCTAAAACGTGCATCAGAATCCCTCAGGTAAGCAATTTAAAGCGGACACAAATCAGCTGAAAGGGGCTTTAAAAAATGAAAGAATTTCTTAATGAACATCCGGCCTTGTGAAAAGTGTAAATTAAGACATCATGAAGGGGAAATTAGCCTCGCTCAGCGTGGGGGAGTGGAGCCCCCAATTATGAAGCAACTTTTTTTCAGCTAGAACTCCCCATGCCCTCGTTATCATGGCATTATTAATAGTTGCACTACATTATCATGGCCCGCTTTTCTTGGAAATGTAAAAGCAGGTTGCAGCATCTTTGTCTGAACTGAGATTTGACCTTAGAAGGCGGAAAAGTAGGTAGCTCTAAAAGAAGGAATCCAGAATCTAGTTTCTCCCTCAGATCTCATCCAGATGTGTGCGCACTTCTGCTCTCAGGATTGTCAGCAACGGCCCTGGGAATCTAAACCCCCCACATCTGGAATTGGCCAAGTTGGGAGACACACAATCTGACCTGAGGTGTTGACTTTGGGTCTATGGGTGTGACTCACGTTGCTCAAGGAACAAAGGTCAACGAACTGATGAATCTTGTCCTCCACAAAGCGTTGATATAACCCAACGGACACCAACATCTGGAACAGAACCAAGAATACTTGAGGAACTGTAAGGCATGTCAACTTCCCGCAAGAATCCAGAGATCCTTCTTGCAAAAATCCCTGCTGGCTTCTTCCAATCCATTGGAACAAGTCAACGCATGTTGAGGTGCCACCTAAGAATACCTTTTGCATCATGAAAATGCTGCGTGAAAGGGGGAACCAAGGAACAAATAGACAGAATGTAGGAAAGCAGAGTGAGACACGTTTGTTTTTTCCTCAACATTTCCAACTTAAGCCATCATCTATCATCCATCCTTCATCCCAGGTGCTATTTATTTTCTTGTGAAGATACAAAAGCTTTCTTCCCAGATTTCTCAAGATAGGAAAGGCTTCAGAGCCGAGGTGGCTCAGTGGTTAGGGTGCAATACTGCAGGCCACTTCAGGTGACTGTTATCTGCATTTAAGCGGTTCTAATCTCACCGTTGAGTCAGCCTTCCATCCTTCCGAGGTGGGTAAAATGAGGACCCNTGCTGGAACCAGGAGGTATGTAGTAGAGAGTCATTAGATGTTGTAGCCCAAGGGCTCTCTCTTCAGCCAACTCCCAGTTCTGGTCCCTTCTGTACTTTCTCATTCTCCAGGCAAAAACCTGTAGTCTGTTCCAACTCTTCACCTCCTCCCCTATTCCACTCCCGTAGGAGAACTGCCCATTCAGGAAAGTCTGATCCTCCCATGCAGATGAATAGCCCATTCAGGAAAGAGCCATTTGCATGAAAAAGCTGTTTGATCCACAAGATTCTGCTTCCTTATATCAGGTCTCTTTCTCCGAACAAAAACAGAGTGTGTAACTTCATTCATGGCAATCATTCTGTAAATGGCATATATGGCTTTACTGTCAGGAATCTACAGAGTTGCTAGTTGTAACATGAATTGCATTTCTTCCGCACAAGCAATTTTCTGCTTGGCATTCAGAGCTTGTTTCCAAGAGGTGTGTCTTTTTTTAAAACAAGTATTAATGAGTCACACCTACAGAACTTGGATATTTAAGCTATGGGTCCTGCCCTAAGGCGTGTCAGTGCTTCTGTTTTTTTTCCCCCCCTCCTTGCTGCATATAAGTCTTAATTACTTTTTTTTTTCTAAAATAGTTTCATCCATAATTTTACCACTTAAACATATCCTAATCAAAGCACGCCACCAGCTTCTGTTATAACGCATTCATATGTTGTCAATATTGTTACTGTGGCTCAAGGATTTAAGATCAAAGCTGTGCTTTGAACTCATTTGTTACATGGGGTAAATAATTCCCAGTCTTGAGTAACATCAGCTTGCCAGTTGATTCTGGGCAACTTCCCAGTTTTAATTAGACGTCAGGTGTGTCTTTTTTAAATTGATAAACAGCATGGAATTCAAAGTTGGGAGCAGCTTAGAAGTGGGTTTTTTTTTGTATGTCTCCAATCTGCACACTCAGATCCAAAGTTTTGTTCAACCCCAAGAAGTTACAGTTAGAAATTATGTTGTCTGCAATGAGGTTTTCCGAAGGCACGAATGAGTGTGAACAAAGAAAGAATCTGGAAAAGGCAGTTGGACAGTGTGATATATGCCATACAGGCCCACTTCTAAGCTGCTCCCAACTTTGAATTCCATGCTGTTTATCAATTTAAAAAAGACACACCTGACGTCTAATTAAAACTGGGAAGTTGCCCAGAATCAACTGGCAAGCTGATGTTACTCAAGACTGGGAATTATTTACCCCATGTAACAAATGAGTTCAAAGCACAGCTTTGATCTTAAATCCTTGAGCCACAGTAACAATATTGACAACATATGAAT